GCTCATCAACATAGGTGAAACTACTCAGTGAGACATGTAAAGCAGATTTGCATAAGCTAAGGTGAAAACTGTATTTTTAGCAATTTAATAACGTAGAATCACCAAAGGAGAGCAGTAGCGACAATACTTCTCATTTATTGTCTTCCTTCAGTAGTTCAGTTGATTGCACATTAACTATGTTTTATTTTCCAAATGAAATTATTGGGTATCATTTAATACAACACAAAATGTAATTCCATCAGTTATATATCTTTACTATGTATGCTTTAAGAGTTAATTAGAAAAGTTTTGAGATTTATTTTATATCAGATTTATTTCTTAAAAGGTCTGTGTCTTAAAAGGTCTAGGTTATGGTGACCTTGGAAAGAGTAATGACAGATGAGTGGAACGGACCATTAATGATTCATTTAGGATCTATGTTTTTCTCACTTTATTTCAAGTTTATTGTATTTCTTAGAATTTTATTTTCCTGCATGCTTTGATTGGTTCCTTTGCTGAAAGCAAGGCCACATGCCTCATGTTTTTGTGCACAGCACAGGAGAGTTTGTAAAGCAGATGAATTGCTTTCTGTCTAAGCATTGTAAGTGTACAGTTCTGTTCCGTTGACAGTAGACACTACAATAATTCTTATGTTCAAACCAAAAATTTGACACAGAAGAAAAGTGAATTGAGTGTTATCTTCCTTTAATGTACTTTTGAAAACAAGAATGAAAGCCTTAGGGGAATACTTTCAGCCTATTAATCTTTCCCTTCAGTTCAGAAAGATATTCCATTTCAATGCCTCTTCTGCTAATATTTCATGGCTTTCATGCAATCAAGCCTTTCTAAAGCACTGATTGGCAAGTAGGTTAAGGGAGCTGTGCTGGATACTATCAGCTCACGCCTGGAACTACATCATTGAACTGGCTCTTGGTGTGACCAAAGACTTAAAAGTGACCAGAGCTTCAGTGATGGTCGATATTCAGGGGTTATTCTGATTATAACTTAATTTCTCTGATAAGTTCAGAATTTTAAAAATCAAAAAAAATCTATCTGACCAACTTACAGTTTTCCCCCCAAATTTTAATTTTTGTGAGTCTCATGCGATTTGGCTTATATGCCTCTTTCAGCTGTGCTGCATAACCAGTGAAAGTAGAATAAATGGATAAATACTTTCGCAATATTACATTTTCTTTCCAGTGGAAAAGCTAATTTTTTTCACCCAGTGTTTCAGATGTATTCAGTTTTAAAAAAATGAAAACGGAAAGAAAACCTGGAAACTAAAACACTAAATGGATTCTCCTGGGCACAGAAATTGAGTTTGGACACATTTTCTTTGTTGATCTCTTGTGTTAAAGAAGCAATATAAACACCTGGAGTGGCCTCTTGAAATCAGGAGACTTGAGAAGACATTGGTGAAGTGGACTTTATACTATATGAAACATGTGCCTGTATGAAACTGATATTTGGGTGGTTGGTTTGGGTACAGATTGTCTTCCTCCAGGGAGAATGTGCATACATATTCCATTCCAGACATAGGGAAATATCTGTGTGTAGTTGGCATACTTAAGTAGAACTCTTTCTGGTCTGGATACCCTTGAGCATGGTTATGGGTTTCAAATGTATCAGACACCATCTGACCAAAAGAGTATAAAACTGATATTTTTGGATACTTTTGGGTACAGTTTGTTTTGCATCTTTTAAGAATGTAAAAAAATAACTATGGTGATTGTTATTCCACGATGCAGGTGGTTGGTGGCTGTTACCAGGTGGGGAAAATTATTGAGTTGGGTCTACCTAACAGCCCAGTTCTGAATTTGCTGGACATTATATGAGATAGGTTAAGGCTGAATCTTGTCAAGCCTACAAGGAAAGTCTGGTTAGTCACAATTGAAAATTCAGTGTAGATTTCTTGGTTAATGTGGAATTGAGCATAGTTTATCTGAAACAACTGTCCCATCAACCAAAGAGGAACAGGTTATTTCAGGATTTCAGGAAAAATATGAAATAAAATAAGAAAAGAATGGTTCAGTGGAATAAAAAACAGTTCCAAGACAACAACAACAAATTACATTTGTGCAGCGCCTTTCACTTCGGGAAGACATCCCAAGGTGATTTTAACAATAACAATAACAACTTGCATTTATATAGCACCCTTTCAAATGGAATAGCATCTAAGAGCATTGGAGGAGGCAATTAATCTTAACAAGGAAGCATGTTTTATGTGAATGAATCATGTTGGAGAAATGCCAGACACATTGAATAGGTTAACAGTTCACTAACTATATCTTTTGCATAGACAATGGCGTTTTAATGTGATTTGTTATGTGTTTGGAGGAGTTTGTAATAAATAATACACAGGAAAGAACAATGACAGCAGTAGACGCGTATTAATTACAATTGGACAAATGCATTTATTTTTCAGGATGCCAGAATTAGAAAGTAAGTTATTTTTGTTAAGTGGGCTGCCAGCCCTAAGTTCAACAGAACTGTCTTTGTCAGGGCAATTGGTGTGTGTGATTTTATCAAAAGAACAAGGGAAGTCAATCGAGAGAGAAATTAGAAAAAGAAAGAGATGAGGAAAAAACTATTAATATGAATGAAATGAAGTAACTGAATCCCTTTCATCATGATCATTACAGGACTTGGAAAAAGGGAGAATCAAGTGTAATTGTTCTGCAAAACCCACTGATCGTAAATAGTTGCATTAAAGTCTTCAAACACGTGGCAGCAACTTTAGCTGTGTGGTGTAACCTCCATTTAAGTTGCAATATTGTGATTTTAGATTAATTATGTAACTCACAATCTCAGGCATTTCCCGCATCAACAGAATTAGTTAAAGTTAGAGTGTTTGTTCTGTTCTGCTATAATTTAAGGTTATGATGAAGAGCATTTACTTTCTCTAACTGGTCTTTTATCATTTCTGGATGTCATAATTCTAAGATACACATAAGAAATGAGTATTGTTTGTTTTTCTTAACTCCAGTTTGCCCACTCAACTCAATCCTCGGAGTAAAAACAGTCCAGAGATTTTAAAAAAACAAGTAAGCGAGTGTGTGTGTGTTGACAGTAATGTGATAAGTAATCTGACCGAGAGGGTCAGATGCCCGAGACCTTGAACAGGAATTTTGAGCACTTCATCAATATCAATTCAATCTCCAGGTTTGTTATTCTCTTGGATCACACTTTAACATGTGTTGCTTTGTAGTATTCACAAATCTAATGATTTCTTCAGCTGTTTTTGCTGGCACAAGTGTCCTGGCAGAGAGAAATAGATCACAGGCTCCTTGCTACCAAATCATGATTTGACAGCAATACTGTACCATGTGATTTAACCAGCAATAATCTTAGGACAATTCCACTGAATAATAAATGAGAATATGATGGCCTCTATATATTAATATAATTACATGCTGTATTTAGCAAAGTTATGTTTGGCTTTATCAATGATGGAACAAAACCGCATGAGGATTGTTGTTTGGTGTAGATCCATTATGTACAGAAAGCTGATTCTTGGTGTATTTTTTTGAATGCTGGAACTATGAACCATAAATAATTTTCAAATATCAGTACATATTCTACCAGAATAAATGTGCAGGTACTTATTGAGCTATTTGTGAGATTAGAATAGCTTTCACATTTTCCACAATATTGACTGATTTATATTGACTGAGATGCAGGTTACTGACCTTCCCCTCAGAAGCAAAATCATCAACTGATAATGCTGTCTTGGTTTGAATGAAAATTAAGCCAGGTTCAATAGCCTCACTGCAAAGTCACAATCTATAAAAATCCTAAACAGTAAAACCTGTGTGGATGTGTTAAAATCAGCTAATTCACTTGCTTTTCTACAAGATCGAGTTCAAGATCCTCACTTTAAAATCCCTCTAATCTTGCACCATCCTACCTCTGTGACTTTACCAAACTTACCAACCCACCCACATTTTCTGCTCGGCAATGGCCTGCTTCATGTCGCCTTCCTGCTTACCCCACCATCAGCCATCGAGCCTTGAACCTTTCTGCCCCACTCTCTTGAACTCCATCCTGGAGTCCCTTCTGCTTGTTCCATCCCTTACCTTCTTCAAAGTGTATCCCAAGACCTTCCTCTTCAGTCATCTTTTCACTCCCATCCCCTGGTTCCCATCCCTCCCAAGTCCAAACCCCAGCTTGAGTGCAAACCCAAGACTGTCCAGCTACTTGGGGCATCTTAAAAAAAAACTGCATTTATACAGCATCTTTCAAGTTGGGGTTTTCAAAAATAATATCTTGATTATTTTCCTCCTGGGAGCTAACAAAATTTTGTCTAATTATGTCAAGTGACCAGTTAAGATTTAATACTCGAGATGGACCGGTTTCAGCTTTTATGGTAGACTGGTTTAATTGTGGTAGACTGCTCAACTATGTTCTACAACTCAACCACACTCTAAATACTGTGCCAAAAACAGTTGAAGTGTTCCACCAGGTACTAGAGAACTGGAGTCTCAAACCCTATGAGAAACAATATAACAGGCTGGAAAGAAGCCTTCTTGTAGCTATTTACTGATAATGTTTCATGTAAACAAATATTGCAATTATTCATCTTTGTTTTCCTAACATATTTAGCACTGTTACTTTGTGAGAAGGAGGGTAATGTATCCAATTTACCAATATTTCATTCAGTATCAATTCATTTGGATTTGGCTCTGATTTTGTACAAATGTTTTTTCTATATAATTTTGAATCCCAATGTGGAAGCTACTTATAAAAAAAAGTCCTTAAAGTGGCTTGCTCTTTACTCACAAAGCCAAAGCATTAGTGACAGTTCCATTGAAGCAACATGTGGATATTCTGCTGATTTGTTTACTCTGTATCATGCGGGTCAAATTGTGGTGAAGCTGGCTTATGCTAATGTTTTTGGAGAATAAGCAATTTTTAGGATGCATAACCATTTTCTGAACTTTATTAGAATCTTACACTTGCAGCATAGCAAAAAGAAGGAAGCCATTGACTTTCATGTTTTTCCCCCACCTCTTTATTTCTAGCCCCGTGCAAATCCCTTCCCAATCTGCAGCTTCTGTTTGGGGACAAAGGAGCACAATCGAGAGAAAAAGCCAGAGGATCTCATCTCCTGTGCAGACTGTGGTAGCAGTGGTGAGTTGAATTATTTATAAATCAGTAGAAATTGTAAGATTTTTTAAATCATAACTCACATTATGATGCTCAGCGGGCATTGTACTTCAACCTCAGATTATTTTCTGCAATGTAAAGTGGAACGATTTTGTCACTACTGTGGCTTGCACTTTCATATATAATTATACAATGTAGTTCCATGTGAAATAGAATGATCTGATAATTAATTGTATGTTTTTAAACCTTTAAAACTCTTAATTGACTGAAAATTTGGTTAGTTTTGGAGATACACAAAAAAGAGGAGGCAGATGAGTCATTAAAATCCCTTTATACTGCACAGTTGGCACTAGAATGAATCAAGATTCAACTTGGCAGTGTTAAATTGCCCCACTAAGAAATACTAGGAAACATTCTGCTACCTCATCCCATCTGGCTTTGATGTTGCTGCTGGTCATGCTTCCATACCTACTTGATTACATTTCAAAAGGTCCATGTGTTCTAATATTGAATTACTATAAAATTGCTGAATCCTTACCTAATTTGGCCTATTACAATTGTTCCGAATACAATACTTTTACCCAAATAAGAAATTACTTTTAATGTAAACAATTGACCCTTCTTCAATATTTCACAGCTATGGGGTTCATTACGTATTTCACATGCACATGTCAAAAAAAGCATTTTCGGTTACAGATTTGTTTTTACATATTACAAACTCAAATGAGTATTTGTAACCTTAGGAAAGCTGATTTTCATTGGAGGTAGAGATGGGATTGAAGACTCCTTTGTTTGCCTTCTTTCGTTCTTAAAAGAAGAGGCAGACTGGACAGTTTCAGTCTTACTCTACTGAATATGAGAGGAAAGGAATCATTTCTAAAAGTTTCACTAGTTTAGCACACCGTGACACAAAATAGCAAGGGTATATATATTGTCCCATGATTTCTTTCATGGCACATTCTAGTTAAGAAACCAGAAATATGCTAAGTGGAGACCAGTTGATTCCTTGAAGGGTGGAGGAAAAACTCTAAATGTCTCTGCAATTTGTGTTCTTTCATTCTTCTTGGAAAATTTATTGAAAGCAGTGTTGTCAGAGGTTTGGGGGAGAATTTCTGGCCTTGGGTGGCCAAAAAAAATACCTATCAGGGAAAAATCCCACCTGAATCTAGGTTTATTTGATTTACTTGGCATTTTAGGGGACTCTTGAACTCAGTCGTAACTTTGAAAGCTGCTTTCTGCCATTCTTAAAAGAATGTAAACATAAAGCCAACTTCAAAATTCAGGCTGTATTTAAGAATTTGTCAAATTCTGGACTCTCTAAAATGGTACCTACCATGAATAGATTAAATCTAGACCCAGGTAAAATTTCATCTCACATGACTGAAGCAATAAAAACGCATCTTGCAAGAAGTCCGTAAAAAGCATTACTGTATCTTTCATTATATAACCCATTTAATTCTAAATGTTAGAGTACTTACATGCTGAGAAAATCATCATAAGCTTTTTTCAGAACTCCATTATATGTAGTTTTCCACTGCTATGTATTTAATTGCATCATTAGATGAGACCTGTAATGGCTGGAACTAGAAATTGCAAAAAGAAATTTTCTGTGATCAGATAATGGCAATAAATGCAAAAGGACCAATAATTTACATTTACAGATGACATTGTCTTTTGAAGTGTTAGCATAATGTCACTGCTGTTATGCCTAATCTTCATCAAATATTCTTTAATATAGTGAGTTGTTTATGATGCAACAGTTTTGTCCTGTCCGCTCCACCATTCAGCCACTAATCCCCGAAACTCTGGAACCCTCTCCCTCAATCCCTCAGCCTTGCTCCCTTCCTCCCCTCTTCCAAATTCTGTCTGAAGACCTTCTTCCATTTTGATCGTGCTTACGGTTATCTCCCCCCTCCTTATGGCTCGGGGTTAGACTCTGCCACTGTCAAGCTCTTCAGAACGCTGCCTGCATCAAGGGCGCTATATAAATGCGTTGTTGTTGTTTTATCATTGGCAATAGAGAAGAAAATATCAATATGATGCATATTAATTTTTCTTTTGGCTTTTTGTTTGCTGTTGGTGCTCCTAATCAAACCAATGAAATTTGACTGAATATTGTATGTAAAGTTTAAATCTAATGAACTGAAGTTTAAGACTTAATTGGGTAAAATAGATCTCCAGTAGTCACTTGAGAGGATATCAGGATTTGTAGGCAAGTCTTTACATGACTTTCATGGATTGACTTACATTAGAATTAATGCTGATACTCTTTCTGCCTCATTAAGATCAAATTATCTTTAATTAGCTCTGCAGATGTATTTGGTGATGCGCAGCTTTCTGGAAGAATGCTGAAATGTGGAATAATCTACTTAGTCAATGCATGTGAATCTATTTTACCTGACTTGCAGAACACTGGAGTGTTTTTTCCAATCAGAAATATCAATCTACATATTGTTTAATATACTGGGGTTCATCACACACCTGTTAGTTGTTTCAGAAATCTGTATATAAATATCATTTTTATGCAGTGTAATTAACAGATTTATTACTGCAGTTGTTTTCAGACATTAGAGTTGTCTTCCATTATGTGGGTGTTTTTTTATTTTCAGTTGGATCAGTGAAAAAAGCCAAAAGGGTATTGTTAATGCAGAATATTCAAATGCACTCTTGCATGAGTTAAAACATTTTGCTACAGAGTGTTTTTGTTTTCTGTGATCTGGTTTATCATCCAGTGTACCAATTTGGGAAAATGTATCCTTTTAAACCATAGGGAAGTCCACCTAGTCTAACTCTTCACAAGTGTTGATTAGAATATAGTTGAGTAATGACTCCTTATACGACTTCAATGTCAAATGATGTTTCTCTATTTTCGCATTGCAGAAATTACAAACACTAATTAGCTACAAATATCTGAACAATGCACGGACTGTTGGAGATTGATTTAACTGAGACCGAGTACTCTTAATATATCAAGTGTCGAGTCGACTCTTTTTTAGTCAATGGAGTCTATTATGTGCTATACCTTAACCATGTGAAAGTGCGTGTGTACAAAGGAATTACAAGTGCTCTTAATTTTTTTAATTAACCATTGGAGAAGTTTTTGTTAATTTTATAATTGATTTTCATTGATCGTTAATTACGTAATTAGCACATCTGCAATTCCTCTGTAAATTTGTGCTCACTCAAGGATTCTCCATAATATACAGACATAAATATACACATGGTTTTAAACAGTGTATAATAACCCCCTGTCATTCCTTTATATCTGAAATTACATGTCTTTTTAAATTCCATATCACAATCTCTTACATTTTTGTTTTTCTGTCAGCTTAATATGCACCACTTTCTTTTGTTCACTGAGGTCGTGATTTTTTTGAACTCTGTATCCTGTATAAATCATTCATTTTTAATCTGTTCCAATGGAGGTAAAGTACAAGGTACTCAGTTGAAAATACATCAACTTTTAGACATGGCTGCACTTTTTTTCAGGAGTGCTTTTCAACATTGTTTGACTGATCTATTTTTGCACCCATATATGCCAAATACTTCACAGGTAACCATGGTTCCAAGGGGGCATTGCACCAATGTGCTTCTAAGACTTTATCTGTACAAGCCCTTTTGACAAGCACAACAAGAAAATTGGCTCCTTCTGTTTATCACACTACCTTACTTTTGTGTATTTTATCTGTCACTGACCTGCTTGAATACATAAATGCATTGACTATTGTGTGCTTTTTGTTCGTGAATCAACCAGATAACAACATTTTAGAATACTTCCTCTCCTATCTTATCCATAAACCCAATATAAAGTTAGGCTTTCTACCATTTAGTGAAAACTGGCACAATCCATAAAGGTACTCTGCATTTCAGTTGATAAGAATAAGACAGAGAGAGGCAATTGGGGGTGAAAGGAAATGCACAAAAGAGGTTGTTTGCTTGTATATGTGCAGGTCTGTTTATGAGCCTGTCAATTCGTTTCACCTTATATTTGTAGACACCAAAGCACTGTAAAAATGATACAATTGCTGACATTAATTATTAGACATCCACCTGTGAAATTAGGAATGGAATGCAGTGTGCAAATGTGCATCTAACAGCCTCTAATTTATCTTGCAGATTTACAAATGTTTCAATAAAGATATTTGCCTCCTATCTAAGAAAATGCTTTAGAAAATAGGTAAAAAAGGTTCAATCTATCCGTAAATATTAACTTGTCATCTTTGAAAATAAAGATGTATTTTCTTTCCAATTGAGTCACACATAAAGTTTTACCCTACTTCTGAGATTTTAAAAATTGCTTTCTTGTTCTTCACAAGAGTACCTATAAGTACTACAATTAGATGATGGTTGTCGTTTTTCTTGTAAGTGCCCAATCACGTGTCTCTTATTTGGGATCAGACATTATTGTCAAAAGATTTCTATATTTTCAGTGAAGTACAGTTTACTTAATGCACTTCTTAAAACCGACTCTGCAATTTTTGTTTCATTCAAGTGTTTCGTAAAATACTGAAATGCTGAAAAAGTAATAGTTTTGACGGTAGTGATAAAAACAAATGCTGTTATTCTACTTTCCAGATCAATCCTAGTCCTTGCTAAACAATAAAAGTCATTGAATATGTGTTTACAATAAGAGCATAAATGATTTTATAGTCTGTGTTGAAATGTTGTACCTCAATGCATGCACAGTTCGTTTCATCAGTTGGCTTCCAGTATAGACTTTGGATTTCTTGCACTTGTCGAGCACCATCAATTTCACTGTGTTGACCCATAATATTCTGAATATTGCTTTCTTTATGGATCACTTGTGCTGTGGCAGTCTTGCCTAAGTGTAAAAAAAAGCCACACTTAGGTTCTCACAGATTTTGAGCAAATTATGTATAGAATTTAAAAATGATTGCATTTAGTTTCATGAAGGGCTCAACATTCTATTTTTTAAGAAATAAAATGTTTGCCACAAGGCATTTGCAAACAGTCTTGTGATTTTACTTGCCTGGATTTTACAGAGGGCAGAAGTGAAGCAATGATTATTAATGTCACCATAACAGCTTCTGACAGGTTTTGAATTTACTGTTTGAAATGTAAATCACAAGTTGGTGAGATGACAGCATAATAGCTCATTTGAAATATTTTTTAAATTACTTATCTTTTTCATTTAAAGTAACTAGCAATCTATTTCTAAAGCTGGCACTGTTTTAATGAAAAATGTACAGTATTAAAAAAGACAGACATTTCAGTCATTTAGTTAATTGATTCAATTGACGTTTTAGGTACTTCTGTCAGTATCTGTCAAACACTTTTAATATTTTTCCTGGCCCTTCTTCATGTGTGTACATATCATTGTATCTGTCACTATTGCATCATGTTTTAGGTAATCATCAATAAAATAAACCTCTGCTCTGAATCCTTACCTGCTCCTGAACGACGTCTTTAAGACAATAAAAACAATGTCATGAAAGGCAACAGATTATCTCTGTAATATAATTATCATTTTGTGCACCATATGCTTTGCTTTTCCTCTCTTTAATCATGCCTTTTGGAGCGTGCAGTAGGTTATGGAAAATCTCTGGTTTGCCTGTTGCCACCCCACAATAATTCCTTTAGTATTTCTTTGCTCCAAGCAACAAACAGAATAAATTTCAAGAGGCATCTGTCTTTGTTGTTATTGCACTGGCAGCACCATCTTATGCCTGATAGCATGAATTTAAAATACACACCTGTATTCTCTTAATGCTTGAGCTGCCTTTTTATTCTTTTTTTCAAAAAAAATGTACAGCTATTTGAAATTACAAGGATTGCTTTAGTTTTTTTAAATAAAGTCATGAATTGTGAAATGAAAGCTGTTTTCAAATGTATGGCTTATACACTCGTAAGACAAAATATTACATGTTATTACCTGTTTATTTCAGATACAGGTAGTTGTACGTTAAATATTTGAACACTAAACACTACTCGAGAATACATTCTGAATTAAATTTTTCACTTCCAGAGTTCCAGCTTGATATTCCAAAGTTAATATTTTTTCCCCCAGTCGAGTACTATGTTTTTTTCAAAAATCCAATTTTCCTCTTTTCTCCTAAAGTTACTGAGTGACTTTACACTGTAGTCCCAGGGAAGCAGCATCCCTCTGGTACCCAAGTGACTGATGGTACAGTGTGATATCCTAGCTGAACAATTCTGACTTTCCTAACATCTGCACAGATGTGATGTCAGTAGAGGCTCAGGATAACTATCAGTATTAGGAACCTTGGCTCAATTTGTTTCTCATTAGGCCCGAGACACTGCATTGACTGAGATCTGTTTGCTTATCTTAGACCACAGGTCAAACGTGGGAAATTACTGACCTCAATGTTTTAGCACCATTCCATCACATTTGCCCACTGGGCCAGAGAAGCATTTCTGCTAATATTTATACTTAAAAGTGTGTGTGTTTTCATCATTTCACTTTTTAGATAATACATTGACTACACTGATCGAGCAGTCTGATAACTTGACTCAATATCACAATGTAACTAGTATTGGGTTGTACACAACAGTGATCCAGATAAGCAGCTCTGTGGTGAGGAGGCATTTGGTCTCTGCTTGTTGTTTCCTCTGTCGGTCTACTGATGTGAGGAATTAAAGTTTGCTTAAAAACAATTTGAATGCACCTGTAATATTCAGGTTAGGTTCCAGAATGCAAGTGAGTAGAAAATCTGATCAGGTTTATTGCAAGTAATTCTTCCCATATATTTATTCTGTCAAGTTAGATATCTAGTTCATTGGTAAACTTCCTTTTATAAAATATCACTTGACAAATCAAGTGTGGCTTATCTTATTTGTGAAAAAAAATACTCGAATGACCAGAAAAAACTTTCAACATCAATTATTCTTCTTTTTGAAGGGCACCCATCATGTTTAAAATTCTCTCCAGAATTAACAGCCCATGTGAAGACATTAAGATGGCAATGTATTGAGTGCAAGACTTGCAGTGCCTGTCGAGATCAAGGGAAAAACGCTGTGAGTATTTAAGCCCTCCGGGATGCTACCCCTTGTGAAGAACGCAATATAAATGCAAGTTTTTGTTCATTGTTAATCTTTCCTTCCCAATATTGTTATAATTTTCCAAGTCAATTTTTTTTAATAATGATCATAAACAATTCTGAAACACAATTTTTTTTCCAATAAATCTAGAGGTCTCAGGGCAAATTCTTTCCTTTTTCCACACCTATAAGTCCCTAAGTCTAATACCATTTTCAAATAATTATCGCTTTTGGTCCAGAGAACAATCTTTCAATGCATATTTAAAAGGTACACTATATTTTACAGATTTTTTTAGAATCCCATCCAGTTTAATTCTTAATACATAATTAAATTGCTAGTAGGTGAAGGGGTTCACAAATTCGCAGAGAAAATATTGTAATTTCCCTTTCTTTGAATATTTAACCAGCAAGTGGAGCCAGAAAGATTGTGCTCCAGGTAGGAAAGTGCTCAGATTTAAATATTCCTCTATAAATTCAAATTCGCATTTCACTGGTCAACTTTTTTGTAAACCACAGGAGATAGGAGAGCCTTTATTGTTCTTGTCATTTTAGCACTCGCAAGTATTGAGTGTAAGTAATAATTTGGAAACTTGAGTGAATTCATGCGATTTTGAAGTAATTGTACTTTCTTTCCTCCCTAGGACAACATGCTTTTTTGTGACTCCTGTGACCGAGGGTTTCACATGGAGTGTTGTGACCCACCACTCTCCAGAATGCCAAAAGGTATTGTTGAACAATGAATGGCTTAATGGTTTTAATAGTTCTTGTTTTAGAAATATACTTGACTAAATAGACACAGGTAATGGATCCGTAAAAGAATCAAAACTGATCCAAATTGACTATTTTGGATTTATTTGTTTTAGACCGTTCCATGCCCTTTATTAAAATGTTCCTTTGCATACGGTGACTGAGGGAAGAGAGCGCATTCAAGTCTTTGGCAGTCGAATGGAAATTCTTCCTAATTTGTCTCCATGCGTTGTAAAATTTGGTTTTAGGATTTGGAGAATTCGACCTTTGCGCTATCCAAGACTGTTTAATTTGTAGATCAGTTCTTGTAATGTAAATATTAAATATAATACATGATGCTGAGAAAGAACTTTCACAACCAAGCTAATGTCTGTGTTCTTTATGATAGGAATGTGGATCTGTCAAATTTGCAGACCAAAGAAAAGGGGAAGGAAGCTACTACATGAAAAAGCTGCACAGATCAAACGCCGTTATGCAAAACCAATAGGACGCCCCCAAAACAGACTAAAGCAAAGAACTGTGTATGTTCATCATTTTCTTTTAAACATGGAACACAAATGAAGTAAACTTGCACTACAATATTTTAAAGATGTTGATACTGTAGTTCTCACTATTTTTTGTGCTTTTAAATGCTTCTGCATACTTGTATCTTTTAGATAGGTTTCCAGGAAAATGGGACAGTTTTAAGAAAAAACAGATTGAAGACAAGATTGAAAAATGTAACTGTCCATTTCATCATTACAAACCTCTCATTTTAATAGCATTTCTCTTGGGTCTAACGGAAACACTGTTACTGTAGTTTGTTGGTCCCCATAGTTTTGTCATAATTAGGTAGTGTATTATAATTGAAAATTATTCAAATTTACCTTTTTAAGGAGACTTGAAAAGCAAATGTCAAACGTGGTGTTTATATAGAAATATTATTTGATGCCTCAAATAGAAAGGAACCTTTATGGACAGTCTGTTCCACTGTACAATTTTGACACATTTCACTTATTTTCTCTAGAATATTTCTCAATGCACTCTTTTGTCTAGAGGTTTTCCTTGAAGCAATATGATTTTTTTCCTCTATAAGCCAATAGTGCTTTAGCTGGACAAAGTGAACAAGTTTTATGGCCTTACAATCTTATGGTCTTAAAGTAGATTGTACAGTTTGTTGTTATTTACCTGGTAACTTTCACAATTTAGAAATTGCACGTTTCACCCTTCTATTTAACCTAAAGCTCTAAAAATATCAATATAACTTTTGTAATCTGTTTCTGCACTGCAGACATCGAACAGTCAACAAGAATAATTTCCACTTATGAACTCCCTCAGCTCTGGTGCCCATTCAGAAATGTCGAGCGCTTTAGGACAATCTCCTTAATTAAGTATAAATTATATTTTATTATGTAGCGCCTTCCAGGTAGGGAGAATGTCTAAAAGTGCTTTACAAAGACTGAGTGAGAATTTGAGCTGAGAGGCAGGGGGAAAGCGCCTTAAGGTGCAAAGAGATGTATTTTTAAGAAAACATTTGAAAACAGAGAGAGTAAGGGGGAGGTGGAGGAAAAGAAGGCGATTCTGGAGTTGGCAAGGCATGCATAAGGATTTCAACATGGGGGTGGTGAGGTATTGACAAGAGGTGGGCAGTGTTGTTTAGAGGAAAATGGACTTGATCAGAACCATGAACTGTTGAGAGTCAGACAAAATGCCAGTGCTTTGCACAGGCTCTGGGAGTTAGAATGAGCAACCGGGGTGATCGGTACTGTCAGTACCTGACTGTCATTAAACTTGAAATCTAATCTTAAAGCCAAATCGACGTTAACCTCTTTCCAACAATGCCTTTGCCTTCAGTTTAATCTGTACATTCCCATTATTCCCCTCAAGACAAGCTCACAGCTCAGACAGAGTAAAGCAGACGTACACCTCTTTCTCACAACTACCTTGTTTTTCAACACATCTTCATGGCTTTTTTGATCATAATAACAGTTATTCAATTCATGCACCATTTCCCTTTTGATCTGGTTCAAAACCAAAAAATTCCTAACAGACATACTGCATTGATTAGCTCTGCTGAAGGTAGACGTAAATTGAATACATAATAATAATAATCCTTGCATTTGATATAGAGCTTTTCACGTCGGGAGGACGTCCCAAAGCGCTTCACAGAACACACTGTAAAGTGAATTGACTGTATATTTGTGGGCGAACGCGGCAGCCAATTGCGCACAGCAATGTCCCACAAACAGTCGTAGATTGAAAATGACCAATTTATTATTGTTTTTGGTTTTGGAGGGATTATTATTAGGCGTGTGGAGTAAGGAAACTTGCCCAAGGTTTCGCCCTGTGCCTGGAATTGAACTCAGATCTCTCGCTTGCAAAGCAAGCGCTCTAACCACTGAGCTACAGGACTCCAAGTAGTGCAAAAATACTATTAGGTGTGTGCTAATGTTTGTGGAACTCGACACTGGTATTTTAACTTAATTTGATGGGGGAGAAGAATAATATAAGACTTTCACCTGCACAGCTGTGTGAAAGAAAATAATAATAATAATAATAATAATAATAATAATAATAATAATAATCCTTGCATTTGATATAGCGCTTTTCACGTCGGGAGGACGTCCCAAAGCGCTTCACAGAACACACTGTAAAGTGAATTGACTGTATATTTGTGGGCGAACGCGGCAGCCAATTGCGCACAGCAATGTCCCACAAATAGTCGTAGATGGAAAATGACCAATTTAATTATTGTTTTTGGTTTTTGGAGGGATTATTATTAGGCGTGTGGAGTAAGGAAACTTGCCCAAGGTTTCGCCCTGCCTGGAATTGAACTCAGGTCTCTCACTTGCAAAGCGAGTGCTCTAGAAAAATGACATCTGCCATTGCCTAGATGCCTTTCACATAAAATCTGTGAATTTCACCCACAATTTTTGCTTTAATTTTGATTCATTCTGCCTTGCCACATCAGATCGGAATGTGCTCCTCTGAGATTTTGTTGGCATTTCTCAGCTTTCTTCAATGCTTAATTTCTTCTAGTGTATATGAAAACATATTCTGTATAGTTTTGTGTGTATTTTTCTCATTTAGTTATGTCCTCTATCTGTATATTGTTCAACTGAAAATATTCCATTCATTTACATGAATATTTAGCCTCCCACAAAAATGCCTCATAACAGTTGACTAACTCAACTTTGGGATGCTTTTCCTGAATGCTTTGAACTAAACTCCTTCATTTAAGTCAAAACCTGATCTCATGAATATGGAAATTATATCCTGAACTCCCCCCTAAAAGAGGTATTTGATTAAAAAAAATCCAAGAAAGCAAGACTTGATATTATTCCATAGACTGTTTGCTACCTAGCAATAACCACCCTAAAAATAATGGCAACTTCACCCTCATGGGTATCAATGCTTGCTTCGTCCTCATAAGCATCATTGCCAACCTTTCTCTTACATCGCACATTTTTCAAAGAAAAAAATGGAATCATTTATTCAGATATTCAGCTGCATTCAAAACCAGAACAAGAAACAGAACTAGATTTTTCTCCCTGGTGTCATTTAGATCAGATAACTCAGTCTTATTCCAAATGTGATACAGGTTACAGATTTATAATTTGATGGATTGCAGTCCAGATGTTTTCCAGGAGTTACAAATGCAATTTTTTGAAATTTGCAAAAATACAGCTACATGTCAGGTTTGCTCAGAGTGCAAAGACACAGTCCTGAGGCTTCAAAATTCCTTGGCAGCAGACCTTATTTTTCAGTACTATGTGTCAGGTCTTGAGTAGCTGGGGCGTTCACACTTTGTCACTAAGACCTTATACATAATTGACAAAGATCGCAGTGTGTATCTATTCAGACGAGTTTCCAACCACATAAACAACTTGCCAAATCTTACAAATCCCTTAAAGGTTACATCCTCTTTCATTTATCTGTTTGTCTCCCTCTCTTTCTCTCTTTCACCCTCTCAATTCAGTCAATCATGTCTGAAAGTGCTGTCTGGAAAGCTGAACAAATTATGTCTGTATTGTGTTCCCTCCTATCAGTTTAGAAAGTTTCTTTATGAGACAGGTATTTCACTGAGAATATTGCAATGGTGTGTGAATTATCACATAATACAAGGAGAGGGGAACATCAGATTAAATTCATTTAAGTTATTTACTATTCGGCAAACACTTCTTCTCATTGAACCTTGAGGCGATGATGTTGTCCAAATGAATAACAAGATGACCTGGATATAAGCAGTGAGGAATAATCTAGGCCTTTTACAGACTTGGAATGCAGATCCTTCATAGCTTCTTCCAAAAAAANCCACAATTTATAACTCTTATTTGGCAAGTAAGGACAGTGTCTCAGCAGATGTTCTCCACAGACAAGAGGTCCATTCTTGTTATACGTTTGAGGTGTATTGCACATTTATGCGCTCTCCCGTATTGATTTTTGCTGTTTGTATGTCCAAGAGTGGCTAAGAGAAGCTTAAAACTAACCAGCTTTTTTTTTGGTGAAGGGTCACATCCAGAACATTAAGCTTTCTTTCTCTTTCAGATGTTCAGTGTCCTGTTATGGATTTCCAGCATTTTCTCTTTTTTAATGTCAAATTTCTAGCATTCCTACTTTTTATTCTTAAATAGAAGAAAAATAACTATGTACAGAAATTGTAATCTTAGAAAATCACTTATATAATATCAATCGTAGATATATTATTACGATTGACTGGTATCGCAATATCTCCCAGTGCTTTAAACATATTGCAGTGCACTGTTTAAATTGGAAAAATGGACATTTCAATTATTTTGCTAATGTTTTGTTTCTGGAAAAACAACACTTGAATAATGAATGTATTGTAAAATTTCTAATGTGATTAATTAAGATTATGATGATTTGTTGCATTGAAACTGAATGAAGGATGTCACAGTGATGCAGCATGTTGGCGTGCTTATACACTGTGCCACAAAATACTTGGATGCAGAATTTATACTTGTGAGGTCTCCATATGGGGAATGTCAGATTGTGAGCCGCATCTATTGGAGGATGTTCAAAAGAGGAGAGGAACTTCCCTTGAGGGAGGAAATGTTGGAGGATGAGTCGATCTGTACTACACTCACATACCTCCAATTTTCTATACTTAAGGTGGCATTGCAAGTAGATCTATTGCCCTACCCCTTCCAACGGAGGAAGTTGTGCTATAAAGGAGAAGCCTAAAGGAATGAGGAGAAAATAGGCCAAAAAAATGAAAGAAAGAAAAACAAACCAATAATTATATATGAAAATGTACTGAAGTCAGCACTAATATCAAATAGAGAGACTGTATTGGAAATCATAACTGGACATTTGTATTTGTAAACCAAATATAATTGGATAATCTGCATTTTTTTTATTTCCCCCATAAACCACTCATTTTGGAAACCTCCCAAGTAGCATTATGTGCTCCTTTATAATGAGTAATGTTTTTCTTTGTACTTTTCCACAGATCTGCAGCCAGTGATGAAGGATCCATGACAGTGGACACAGGAAGGGGGTCACCTGGTAGGGGTCAAAAGTCTAAAGTCTGTACCACACCTTCATCTGGTCACGCTGTGTCTTTGAAGGACTTGAGCAGCAGATTGACTGATACAGACCCAACCCTGGCTGGCGCCACTACTTCCACCTCCATATTCAAAGTTAACAAGAAAACTAAGGGTCTCATTGATGGCCTAACTAAATTTTTTACACCCTCACCCGATGGCCGAAAGCCGAGAGGTGAAATAGTAGACATTTCAAAACACTATTGGCAGAAGAAAAAGAGCCCTCTGAAACAATCTGGCAATTTTAACTCTAGCATGTGGTCAACAGGTATCTCTCAAAAATTAACCCCACTCTGTCAACCCTCTCCCACATTCCCTAGTCAGAGCCCCACTTCACACAAATCCAGCACTTCTACCTCTGCTAACTCCCCCCAAAGTTCTTCCAGCCAGTCAAGTATACCCTCTCTTAGCAGCCTTCCCAACAGCAGCCAGCTAAAGGGACTCTTTGATGGACTTTCTCACATTTATACAACTCAGGGAGAGCCTCGCAAAAAGGGACTTCCCAATTATGCACCACCTAAGCGTAAGCAACATAGGCCTGAGTTGTCTCCTAGATCCAAAGCCTGCCCTCATTTCCGAGAAAAGCAAGGTGTTAGAAGTAGTAGCTTTGTGTCCCCAGCTTTTTCCCGTGGCTGGAGGGCTTCCAGGAGGCACTCCTTTAAATCTGTTGTGTGTTTCAAACGAACTTCTTTCCTTGTAAAGCACAAAATATTAGGCAGATTAAAATATAGAATGACCCCTCAAATGGGGACCCCCTCACCAGGGAAGGGGAGCTTGGCGCACGGAAGGATTAAACGTGATCAGGACGATGGTAAGCAAAGGTCAAAGCTCCAACCCAACCTTCGTCCCGTCCAATAAAATTTTACTCTTATTTTGTCACATAGGTCTTAGCTTTTCTATTGTTCCTTCTTCACTTTTGTAGGAAAGCAAACAACAAAACATCTTGTCCATTTTTCTTATGCTAACTAAATATCTAACATTGTTTTTTCAATAAACGTATCACAAATCAAGCGTCTTGTTTTTAATTTGCATCTGTAGTCGCACTAGGAAACCGAATGCCTGCATAACCCTGCTTACAGCTTTGTAGAATCGCATGACCAAGCAACTTCCCATGTTTTTCCTTCACTCTCTTCCTGTCCTTTCCCAACACTAGTTCAGCCAATGTGATTTGTGATTTTCAGCACCCAGTTTTGGTAACAAGAAATGGCAGATGTTGACAGCTGTGATAACTTGTAGGTCTTTCTATTCTGCACTTTACTCATTTTTTTCTTCTGCTACATTCCTTTCTTTAAAGTGCTTTAAACTTTGCTGGATATCAAACATCAAAAATGACGGTTAAAACTGTTTAATTGCTCTGTGTTGCTCCTGCTTTCACTGCATGTCTTGTTTATTTCTTGTGATTATTAGCAATAAGAACTGTTAGATGTAGAATGCTAATTTACCAGACCTTAATAATAAAGCATTAATGGAAGTGATATGCTTTATTTAGAGCTGTTAATAGAGCATGTAATTAAGTGCATGTGATGGTGGTTTGCTCATGTACTTGAACATTTATCCTGTGCTGCTTTGGTGAACAGCAGACAATGAAGAAATGAAAAACATCAAAAAGGAAAGCACAGAGGAACTTGCAGCCAGCCACACAGACAATGTGACAGATGAGGACTTGGAGATGTTCAAGCAAGCACGGGATCTGTCACTGCAGGTGAGGCCTATTGTTTAACCATTTGAAACAAATTTCACGACTCTAAACTGTGTTACTATTCTGCACATAGATTCATATGATTTTGTTCTGCATTTGCTAAAATATTAGCCTTTGTACGTAATGAACATGTTTGTTACCTACCTACATTTTGCCTACTTCATTGGTGTCTCAATCACAGATACGTTGTGAAGCCATTGCATGAGTCCATGCAAAAATGGTAAGTTTTAACAGTAAATGAAATGCAAACATTTTGGTGCATCTTCTATCTATCTTCTTCTATACTGATAATAAATCTATCAATCTATCTTCTTCTATCTTATGGGTCAGATAACTTTCTGAAAACCCCTCAGGCTTCGCTTTCAGGTTGTATGGTATCATCTGACCTCATGTATGTTGTAGGCTTTTACCAGCTTCCAAGACAACTTTGTGTTGAACTTGTCAGCCTGCTGTACCATCTTATGTGAGTTATGACATTGAAATGAATAGAGGCTTAACTGTGGAGACTAAATATAAAAGGAGGGCAGTCTAAAAGGAATGCAGATGCATTGCATGAAATTTTATTTTATTGAAAAGTGAAGGAATTAAAGGATTAACTGGAAGGCAGGAAGTGTTCACATGCTAATATATGAACTAAGTAGTTCACGCTTGGGCTTCGTGTGAAAGGTTTAGGCGCATTTTAAATTTAGACCAGTGGCTAGCTAATGTGCTTTAACCCAAATAGTTTCTTTTGTGGTATAAATTCCATGAAGTTAATGGGAAAAGGTTAAGTTTTTTAAAATTGTTACGATTTATGAATTACAGTGTAAAATTATATTTGTAATAATTAAGACCGCCTTTGCTCGGTACTCCAGATGTCATTGCATATGATTTATTGTCAAATTTGTTCATGAAGAAACCAAGAGGTTGTCCAATATAATGTTATTTTTCCATATTTAGCATTTGGCTTTCTTTACATTTGCTCACACCAGTATTTTCTTGCCATTGTGATAAATGTTATAAATGTTTGAAATTTGTTGAAAAAAATCCTTGCAGCAGAATGAATCAAAATTCACAGTGAATAGATGCATATAGATGTTACCAAGGACAGGTTTCAACCTCAGTCAATTTATAATTACGTGGTAGATAGGTGTCACCAATTATAATAGTAAAGTAGGTGCCAGCCTGAAACACTGTCACTCGATGACAGGACTTTGAACTCACACGTTCCAGGCTGATGCTCCATTGCAGTGATGGCGATCTTGTGCTAACCTTTAGGTGAGAAGTTAAACCAAGGTCCTGTCTATCTTCAGGTGGACATTAAAGATCCCATGGCACTGTGTTCAAAAAGTGAGTTTGTCCTGGCATTCTGGCCAACAAATAAAATTGGTCATTTGCTTCATATCTGTCTTGGGATATTGTTGTGATCAATTTAGCTGCTGGGTTGACCTGCAAAATATGCAGTCACTTTGCAGTATATCCTGTAAAACCCTTTGAGGCGTCCTCCTAATACGAAAGGCGCTATATCTTTCCGCATGTGTCAGACACCCAGCTGACCAAACAAAAATGCAAGGATTATTATTAAATGGGCCTGCACTACATTGACCACAGACAGGAGTTGAAGAGGTGGAAAAAATTATTCAGCAAAAATTATTTCCTTCCTGGAAAGAGCACTTGTTTTTGCAGCTCATCCTTTTCTAATAACTCTAGGTCCTTTTCTTTAGAGTACAATTTGCTACACTGGCCATGAAAAAATGCCAAAATATTAAATCAAGCAGAATTCAGAGAGTTACAGATGAAGTTCATTAGCTCATGCCCTTTAGATACAAAATTACTCGGTTATTGTGAGTACTTGATTAGCAACTTAGATGCGATGATTCTCCATTGAGTAGCAAATTACTTTCAACTTTAAACTAAGGGAGAAGATAAAAGAATAAACTTGTTCATTTGAGAGATTAATGAGGATGGCCATCCATACCTAATAGCTTAGAGCAGCATATAATATATTGACACAGCAGGTGGTGTTAGCCAGTATGTTGATTGCCTACAGAGTATCCCTGACTGGAGGCCAGGTGGAAGGGATTGAACTGGCTCATTACACAAACCCATATCAGTGTGAACCGATGGGCGAATAAGAAACAGGGAATCTACCTTCCTTTTAGGCTAAGGATATTGCAGAGTAGCCTAAGAGTAAAGGGAAAATAATACTTTAAACATTACTGAGTCTCACTCTCAACAGCGATCAAAAATAATTCAGTCAAATTTTGCTATTCCCAAATCAATTTGGAGGAGTGCAAAAGAAACATTGCTATTCATATTAGAGAGAGCACAGCCACCTATGCTACTAGAGATCTTAATATAGAGGATTAAAAACACATTGCAAATGTGGTATCTTTGGATGAAGGGCAAAGTAAGAATGTACTGCCTATACATGAATTAATAAATAATCATTACATTTGGTATAGCATTTTCTTCCAAGTTACTTTTTCTGTCATTTGTCCTCATCTTAATTTAGGGGAGTGGGTAGAATGTGAAAAATGGAATATGATATCGAAAAATGTGGTGGTGAGAATTGGGTGTGATTGATGCCCTAAGTGATAGATTTCTCATTGGAGTAGATGAACAAAGATCTGGGGGTACAAATGAGATTACGTGCAGAGAAATCTGTTAAAAAGACAAACAGGTTGCTGGACTTTATATACAGAGCTAATGAATAGAAAAGTAAAGAGGTTAGGACGCTGGTTAGGCCACGGTTGGAATATTGTGCTCAGGTTTGAGCGACACATTGAAAAGATATTAGTTTTGCAGCATCGCTTTACAAGGATGATCCTGGAGATTAAAAGATATAGTTATGAGGAGAAGCTCCATAGGCTAAGCATCTTCCCACCGGAGCAGAGAAAGCTGAGGATAATATGATAGAGGTGTTTAAATTGATGAAAAGATTTGAGAGAATTAATCATGGAACACTATTTTCTCTCGTAAGTGGAATCGATGACAAGAGGGCATGAATTCCAGATTGTGACGAGGGAAATAAAAGGAGAGGATCTAGAGGACTCCAGAGGGTTGTCAGGGTATGGAATGATTTGTCAGGGCTGGCTGTTAGAGCAATCAACTGGGGCATGTAGGTGAAGTACCTTAAAGAGTATATGGAGAGAGGAGGAAATCAGAATGGATGACTATTTGGAGGAGCAAATACCAGCACAAAATAATGGGCTGAATGGCTTCCTACTGTGTCATACATTTCTCTGGTTCTGTGTAAATCTTGTTTGATGTATTTCAGGCAGTTGAGTCATCAGATAAACCTGGAGAAATCCCAGTTGTTTAATGCTTTTTATTTATCAGAGCCTGTATCCAGACAGATGTCCTATATTGGAAAATGATTTTCTGAACATTATGGTCTGGACTTTTTCCCAGGGTTGTGCATTTTCAGGTGACATTGTTCCTGCAGTTGTTCGGTCTGTTAGCCTAAAACATGATTTTATGTGCAATGCCTGTTCACTAATAGTTTGTATTCTCCTACTCAAGGTGGATGGTGCCTCAGAGCCAGAGTCGCGAGGCAACTCACCCACACTCAAAAAGATGATGTTTGACCTCCATGATCCCATGTTCTTAGTTTGCATACCAGTCTTTGGTACTTCCAACAGTTTGGGTATTTTTATCCACCACGCCTGTACTGCTGTAATTTTAGGCTTTTTCTTGTCCTGTCTGAAGAGAAGAATTTAGGGCAAAGGCAGGAATAGGTGCACGCTGCAGAGCAGTTAGCCATGGGGAGCATTTTTCTGTCCTGTCGTAGCTTCCACTATCCCCAGAAAGAAATCTGCAAGGTATCTCTTGAAATCGTTGGATCCACCTTGATGCCTTGTCTCTTAAAATTATAAGTGGAAGATGGCTAAGAAACTGTATTGAAACAAGTTCTTCAATCAATAGCTGTGATGATGGTTTACCTGATGATTGACTTTGAAATTATCTCCAAGCCATTGCTGATACTAGCTGATCAAATCACAAAGCCTTAAGAACTGAACTGCCATTTGATTAAGAGGCATCAACAACTGAGATTTGAAACACCCCATGCTGTAAAATGAAGGCATTCTAAAGCCAACACTTGGAATATAAGTAACTGGCCTGAAACTTCTATGCAAAGAAAATTATGCTCATAACTGAAAATGTCCGTTCTGAAGAATTGTTCCAAAAACTTCAATCTTGCCTCACAGGCCACTACTGTCGGATTTGATGAACAAGAGTTCCTCTGCTTTGCAAGGAAACATATCTTGGCTTAGGTTCTCGTGCTAGATGTGAATTATCTGACAACTGGCTATCCGGAGGAGACAGCTAGATGCTTGAAAGGGGTGAGGAGCCACCGTGTTGAAGGATATTTCACTTTACTGGTTGGAAAGATTAAATGCAATCTATCAAGGACAAAAATATATTTGAACCTGAACTAAGAAACATACTTTATATTGAGCTTTTTATAAGTGGGATTTCAGAAAGGTTGTTTTTTTTTGCAGGAATGCATGGTTTTGGCACATACCATTAAGCACTCTGGGATGCTGCCCTGTGTGAGGGGCACTATAGAAATGCAAGTTGTTGTTGTTGCTGCTTGATTTTCTAACAGCCTGGTCTGTTCAGTGGCATGTAACCATTTCAAATCTAGACTGAAAAGTGAGCAACATCAGCAAGCATTTTCTGAGCGAGAGTGGTTTAGCATATTTTCTCTGTAGGAATATATCTGTGCAAGCGGTTTCTCCCAACAGCATTCGGAGAGAGAAGTGATTCACAATGCAAAATTAATGACACCAAAAATAATTTTAGTAAGTATATAAATAAGTATATAACCCTGGAGGGGAAATCAGTTATACAATTAATTAAAAAGAAGGGATCAGCCCTATCCATCAGCTCCCACATCTATTTTTTTATTCCAGTTGGCAATATTCCAGTATTCCTTCAGAAAGTGCAAAAAAGGTGATGAGGTCATTAATTGTCCTTGGTTTTAAGTTTCATTGGAGATCATAAATGTAGTTATTCAA